TCGGCCAATCCGAATTTTTCAAACAAAACTGAATTAGCTTCCTCTGTTTAAAGTCAATGCTTTTTTCTGCAGGAAAAATTCGAATGATTTAATGGTACTTGCGACTCGCTTTTCTTTTTGAACAATCTATGACAAAACAATGTAAGAGTCAATAGCGGAGTGAGAAGTTTTTGTTTGCCAACATTTGTTCAAACTACACTCGTATTTTAGAGTTTCAACTTGTTTTTTACAAATGTTTCACGCTCCTAGTTGAGCTGTGTTTTGTGGGACCATTCGCACTTGAATGGATCATTTGCTGTCCTTCAAAGTGTCGTTCAAAATCATGAAAAGAAAAATAATCTTAAATCTTTTAATGCGTGTATCAATCGCAGAACACGCATGGGTGTTGAATGTCATTCAACGCCACTAAGCTGTAGACATCTCTCTCCAGCTATACGGCAAACAACAGAACCAACACTGAACATGAAAGTGACATGTTCAATTGTGTTTGTTTGGTTAGTTTCAATTGTGCCGCTACGAGAGGTCACTTTTGCCGTTTCTTGTTGTTATGTTACATGTAAAATCAATGGTATTAGACGAGGATGAGAACACGTTCAAAGATAAATCTAACATGAGTATTTCTCATTTCTTTCGATTCCAACTTGTTTGTGGAGAGCTCATTTATTTTTGTTATAACCGTTGGATTCAATAACGAGAGACCCAGAGTTTATCGCAAAAATGGAGTCTTATCAATTCAATTTATGCACCGTGTTCGAACCCTCGTTTATGCTCGTTTCGACCGATTGAAATTTTGGTGTCTCAGTTTCATTCATATACAAAGTAAAACCGGAGCTAAACCGTTCCAAAGAAGATCGAAATGCCAAGGTGCAAAAAAGGGCAAATAATATAAAGAGGAACAGTCGTACGTCGTCGTTTCATTTGAAATGCTAAGCGAATGAAAAGATATGGAATAACATTTACGAAATGCATCAACTAAATAGAATTCAAAGTTTTAGATTGAACATTTAAAATGAATATTTCTGTGAAACAGTGCATCATCACATTGGATTCGGTGGGTTCGAAAGACTTGGGGTGTGTGCGAGAGTGAACAAGCAAACACAATTCATTAGAACCGTTAAATTCGTCTAGTCAACGACGTCGACGACAAAGACGACGAAGACGACGATCCGAAGTAGGGAACGCATCGAAATAAAATCTTCAAAACGTGAGTTCATGCAAAATTCATTGAAAACGAGCGGTTTTGAGCAGCGCTCAATGAGGACAGAACAACATGAACCCTAACGACTGGATGTCAGTTCAAAATTTCATCATTATGGTAAAATGATAGCACAAGTTGAAAATAAACACGCAAGCATCAAGGTTAATTCCCTTTGCATCGCTTCAAAGTCAAATATTACTTGATTCTTCTACTTTTCGCAACGCTTTCGTTTTTCTCTTTCCCCATGTGCTGCTATTTCATTCACGTTATGCGAGGTCTTGTCTCGAGTCGTTCCGATGGAGAGTTTGAAAACAACATGTATCTTCTTTTTCAAGCTTGGCAGCGATGTGTTGACACTTTGATACGTGAAATGAGTTCATATTTTCATTTTGAAAAGTACAAATTATGTCAAATGCAACTACGAAATGAGATTGACAAGAGAAGAAGCATTTACTTTGGAAATGAGCAAAGCTGAACTGAATTGAACGAACAATAAATGAAAATCATTTTACACTTTAATCAAATGGGGAACCAGTTCACACACATACATATATATACTAAATTCATGCAGTTCAGTGAGTGCTTCGGTCGTACCGATCCATTTTCGATGAAAATTTAATTTGTATTGTCTCAAGCGTTGACTTTTAGTTGTTTAGGTGCCAAACTAAACGATGAGTATCGTTGACTGCATCGTGTTCCGAACAGAGATACGTAGACAAGTTGAATGGAATTGCACGTTGTTTGGAAAGAGACACACAGAGAATAGACGGGACAGTGCGGTGTGGGAGTGAAAGGATGAATTTGTGTTTTGTATCTCTCTGCGTGGATTCAATGACATTGCTCACGTTTGTGACAATCTGCGGTAACTGGTATTAGTTATAAGCGAATGTAATCTGTTGGAAAAGAGTAATCGGTGAAAAAGGAAAACAACTGGTGATGTATCGTCACATGCAACATGCACACACAAATGTGATGGAGTGCCCAAAGTTTCAACGGGTTCCAAGCGTAACTTTTGAAATGTTTCTTGACCAAATGTTCCGAGTTTATTTTGTATAATGCTCTTTTGTATGCTCCATTCCTATCTCTACATGTCTCTGCTCGCAAAGTGTGTGCAAGCATTTGTTCGGGATTATCGATTTCGATAGCTCAGTGGTTTTCTTTCGATATGAGTTCTAGTTTTCTTAAGCGCATTTACATTGTTCTTTGAAGACAGTTTGAAATACGGTGAACGTGAGCAAACTAGCATTTCATATAAATCGCTTTCAGAAGTTGAAAAAAGGAAACGTTTCGAACATTTCTCCAAAGCACACACCATTCCGATTGGATTATTTATTTGCTTGAGACTTTGAATTCATGCCATTCTCTCTGACAGATGCAACGCATCTGCCATTGTGCACGAATCATCATGCAAAAATCTTCACTAGCTCGTGCACCGACCGAGGGATCGATCACTGATATGAAAAAGAAAACAACATTATTGCACCCGTTTTCCAATCCACATTCTATTAAGAAGAGATTAACCTGGATTATAAACAAACACACAATCATTATTGTTCCTTTGTTGAGTGAAGCCGTTTGTCTAAGCAGAGAAATCTCCTCTCTAAAAGCATTGTAAATCCTCTTAAATTGTGTCGACATTTTCAGTGCACTAACTTTGTCATCGAGCCAAGTAATTTAGCTTCGAGCAAATATCAATTAAGTCAGTTTCGTTAGTTGATTTCCGATGCTTGTGAATTATGATCGAAACCGTTTTCCAATGTTCAACCCATTTAGACCTCGAACGAAGTCAATTTAATAAGCGAAAAATAAACCAATCGACTGTTTTCCTTTAATCGGTTTTGTTTTCGTTTTTAAAAAGCCCAATGGCATCCGTACATAAGGGCAGATATTCAAATCTCCCCCAAATCGCCCGTATAGACGTTTCATTTCATGTTATTCGTTCGGCAATTCCAATAAAACGTCTCCGTACCTTCCATCAAATACCATTGAATGAAGCTTTTATTGATTTCATTGACTCGATTCAAAACCAACATTGAATACCCAGTGGAATAATCGAGAGACAAAAAAAACAGCATCGCCCGAGGCCTTAGCACAGAATAAATACGCATTGAAAATTGACAATTTTTCTTCTCCTCTATTCTGTTTGTGTAGCTCTACACCTTTTCTATCACCAAATTGTATTCATAAACCAGATCATTCTGGCTGCAGCACACACATTCCGTCGGAATGATTTTGCCGCCACAAAGCACATCCGAACGATGTGCCTGTCCTTTTGTGGAGGATTTTTTTTCTTTGCCATTGATTCACTTATATATGAAAATATAATGTGATGACATTTTACACCGGGCACCGGAGTGACAAAGGAAATCAAATTGAAGCACATTCGCCAGCCGATTGTTTACATTGGCACATCTTTAGACGGGTGAGAAATCAAGTGCACAAGAACAGACCACACTAAAGTAGATTAGCATTTGGACCTTAAGGTGTTTGTTGATACGCGAAAAAGCGTAATAAATACGTGGATCAGAAAAAACACATACAATTTCAATTCAAGTGTGGATCTTTTTATTTCTTTTTTTTTGTCTTTTACTCAAAGTCGCAAACTCGTTGGCGGCAAGCCATATCAAATATTTACTTTGGTATGCAATCAAAGAGGAAAAATTGGTCTCTTGAAAAATAAATCGAATTATTAGGCAAAAGTGAAATGAGAATCGCATGAGTTCTCTCGCTTTCGATTGAATGAATATATTGATGGGGCAGACGAGAATTTTTTTTTCTTCTTCTTCTTTAAATCCACTGTTGCACATTCATGGCAAAAAACGTCTGTCAAAAACAATATTCTGCATATTTTATTTCGGATTGAAATCGCATAAAAAATCGATTTGAACCGACTGACAACTGACACTTATCGTTTTTCAATTTTTTGTGACAAGCCCCGAAAAATATTCCAACAACCGATACGCAATCAATCATAAAAACGAAATGATTATGAATGAAATAAAAGAGCGTAGCGAGTAAAAACTCTTCATAAACGAATGTCATCAATATGTCAGCGTATTTGATTGAGTGTCATTATTATTATTGAAAACGAACTTGACAGGCCAAAACAAGTGACATTGTGTGTGAGTGATTCGTTCAATTTATTGAGCTCATAATCAGATTGGTCGTATTTAAGCAAATTGATTTCATTTGCCATTGTGTCCGTAGCAAATATTGCAAGTTTCGTAGGTTTGAATTTCACTTTCGAAATGATTTCACGGTAATCTTCATTGGCAAAAAAGAAAAACTTCGAACATAGTTCGAGCACTGATAATTTGAGAAGCAAATGCGAAAAACTTATTCAGATTGGTTGCACTCTATCGCAATATCCAACGATAAAGAGAAATTGCATGCTCAACAAAAATTCAATCATAACTTTCGCGATTTAATTAAAGCTAAATCAAATTTACGCATTCGTTCGCGAACAAAATCTCTCACATTCTTATTGGGTTTTCAACTATTCTTGAGATGGTTTGTGTGTTTATTTGTGCTGAATAAATGAATCGATAAAAGGAAACACCAAGTGAACGAAATCACTCAAACTCGATTGACTCGATTTTTGGAAAGACGGTCGCTGCTCTTCTCTGCTCGGCTCTGACGTAGCAATGGAGAAAAAGAAGAAGAAATGAAGAAGAGAAGAAAAATCGCTGGGTATATAAATGTGTACACTGTATATAAGATGATTTAGTTCCGAGATCGTATATGCATAGAACGTTTGCCACAAAGAAATATACATACATTTATCACATAAATAAAGACATACCTTTTGCCTCTGTTCGAAAAACGTTCGCCGATTCACACCAAAAACGGGAAAAATGGTTTTCCACTCGGTATTGGTACGTGCAAGACTTTTTAGGGCTTGATTTTTAACATGACACACTTTTTCGGTTTCGTTCTATATCATTCATTTGTTCCTCTCCCTCTCTGTGTCGCACATACGACAAAGAACGGATCTGCGGATAAAACCAACGAAGCAACATCAGTGAATGGAAAAAAATGTGTAAATGTATCATAAACTTAAGCTGAAATATCCGGAGATGGCGAAAAACAGAAAATTGGTGCGTTTCATTTTGAGAGGCCACGTTCATGGTCTTTTCGAACCCGGTGCATTCATCGTATACATACATTGTATTGTACATATGTATATCATAACAAATAAACAAACATACAAATAAATCAACTGAATTTTAATCAGAAACGTGCGCGATACAGGAAATGAGCTGAAATAGTTTCAGTTTGGTTGCCTGCAAGGCAAAGTGTCCCCCGAATAAAACTGTTTTAATGGCTGGATTTAAGCATATTATTTGTATGATTTAGTATTTACCCTCAACGCAAATACAAACAGATTGAAATAAATTTCGTTTCGTTTCATTTTGCAGATGGTGGATTAGCCAAGAGCAATTTGTTATCGCGTTGTTTTTGCATGAAAAATTTTCTTTGTTGACAAATAATAAGAGAACGGTTGGAAACAGCAAGAATCGTCGAATGACAACTTCAATTTCCAAACTGTTTGGTTTTGCTATTCCAAGCATGAAAATTCAATACCATCAAATGGCTAATAAAATCCGCAATTAGTTGGGGCACTTTGAAGAATCAGCACAAATGGATTTGCCGATAAATTCCGGTCATGAATGGATGAGATCTCAAACGTAATGGCTCATTGGAATGTCATTTCGTACACAATGCCAACAACATGGATTGCTTGGACCAGTTGATGAAATAGCAAAAGTGTTTATTTTGACTGCTCAAGTTACGAACCAAAATAATTCGCATTGAGTTGAAAGACAACTACTTCAGAACATTGTTTTGTTGGGACATTGAACCATAAAATAAATTGCACCAACGAGAACAATTAACAAACTCTCTCACACATACGCAATGACAATCTTTTGAAATGGAATCTGAGATTGTTCTGTTTTCAACTAATTCACGGTTTGAACGGTTTCCTCTTACTTAGAATTTGTTCAACTTTTATTGGGACTTTGAACTTTTTCGATGCTTCTCTCCTTGTCTATAAGTATGCAGGGAAATTTTTTTGATTTATGAACAAATCCTACCTCAAAAAGGCTTCAAGTTTGAAGAACTTTAGCTGAAGTTTGCTAAACAATTTTTGATTTTACTGTTCGATAGAAATACTGTTTAATTACTTTTATTCTTCAATACACACTTTTTCGGTTCTTTAATTTATTTGCCAGTTTTTGTTACACTCATTAAAAAAAAGATTTATGCAAAACTGTTCATGAATTTGAAAAACAAAATCATAATATTTTCATACGCAAAATAAATGTGTGAAATATTTGACGAATTTATCCGCCGCACAATGTTCAAATATATATGCTCTGTGATGTGCAAATATCGACGGGTAAATTATCATCATTTAGGGAGAAGCCAATTAATTTAAGGGATTTACACTTTGTTGGTAATACTTTTGGTAAAATCACTTTTTAGATTTTTATTTTTTTTTATTCACTTGAATTCGCCGACGATACTCCATGAACTGATGTCAGTGCCAAACTGTTTCGTGGATTGATCTCAACTGTTTCGTTGCTACAATCGAACTGATGCCAGTCGTTGGATGGAAATATCCTTAAATATTCGGCTTTACTGTTAAGCTGTTGACTGTTGCACTAAAGCTTCGAGCGGGCTAATAGCATCGAATGTGTAACGTTATGAACACGTTGAGAAGTATATTTGTTTCATACAAGTCGCGGGGGAAAAATGCTCGATTTTCTCGATGGAAAATTTGCTTTTGTTATCATGCTTCCATAAAAATGCGCAGTAGCTTGAATTATGCTCACTGCGCACTTACTGCAAACGAGCTTTTGCAGTAAATATTATTCGCGGTAATCGCCAACGTGCACCGTCGTCTTTGAATCGACTGAAACGTGGGCACTCCACTTTCTAGCACATTTTGATTTGAAAATACGGGGAAAACTTCAACAATAATTGGAATTCAGAAAGCACTGCTTTTCCAGCGAGAAGTAGAGGGAATGCTTATCAAGTTCGTAGAAGTTTCACATGTTTCAAGCGCAAACATGGCATTTTTCTGAATTACACCAAAAATTAGACATGTTGGCCATTTTTCATCCATGCTTTTTTTCATACACAAAGCGACTTGCACTTTTTATTCACTGTATGTTTAGGATGGCATATTAGACAATACGTACCAACGAACGGTATACTAGATAAAAATACTTCTGTTTAATTTCTCCTGGATATTATTATGGTAATTATTCCGAGAATTGATGCGGTACTCTTCCGCATCGCCGTAAGATAAGCACAGATTGATGTGGTATATTGTGGTTTTGCTGCAGTTGACATATCTATGAAACTATTATGACTTTGGTTCTCCTACTATAGTCGTCTTTTCTAGTTTTTTTTTTGTACAATCTTGATACTTGAAACGATATATTATAATTATATCGATTGTATGATACGGCAATTATCAGGCATGCTGTTTTATATGTCTACCAATTGTGGTTATTGCATTGCATTCCATGGGTTCTTCATGCTGATGAATAGCAGTCATATATGACCATAAAAACTATAGTTTTATCTATAGATAGATATATTAATTGCCAAATCACTGATAAGATACACATCAGTAAATGTGGAATTGAAGTTTGCCAATGCATATCATGCGTCGATATCCAGTTTTGATTCAGCAACAACAAATTTTCCCGTTCTTTATTCCATGTCATTCAAATTCGTATTAATTAGCTCTATCCACGTTACAATGTAGTTCTGGCTGGTTGGTACGGATTTCAATTTTCGAGAAGTTCGACTAAACTTTTGACTGAGTTGTTTGGAAATGAAGTTTTAATTATCGTCAAAATTGAAGTACAATTTCATATTGCAAACAAAGTGTAAACAAGATGAGCCAGTGATATCCATTTCGAAGAATAAATCCACTTCAATGTTTGAGTTTGTACAGTGCTGGTGTAATTACAGTGTATGATGTGCTGGTGTAATTACAGCGATATATTGTTCCTGATAAAATGCCAGGAAATGAAAATTCCTAGAACGCAATACGCTTTTATGCGAAATCAATCGATAAAACTAACAAAAAAATCCAGTTTTATGAAAATTGAAGCGGATTCGGTTTTTATTTAAAATAGTATATTTTCGATAAAAGTGAGATCTTTGTGCTTTAAATTGATTTTTCCTTGCGAAAAAGCGAAATCATTGTTTACATTTAGTTTAAGTACATATTTACACATTAACATTGACCTAGAACTGAGAAAAATTGCGCATTTGTCCATGCAAATTGATTTAAAAATTATTTGAGCTGAAATTGTGAATTGAATGCGTTGTTGCTTTTTGACTAGACAATATTTAAAATACTAAAAACATCCATAAACTGAATTTGTACCACGGTCGAAGAGTTTGTACTTATTCTGGGAAAGCAAAAAAAAAGTAATATCTCGTTAAGTTTGCGAAGCTGGTGTATGCTCATAAATGGTTGTCCCATCGAAATTTTGCACTTTAGTTATAAGCGTTTTACAATAGAAGCAAACTTTGGTATTCATTAAATGTTGTGTGATGCAGCTGCTACACGATTGATGATTGCACGGTTGGAATGTGGCCGATATCGATGTTGCATAGCATATCGTACAGATTGTATCATCTGAAGGCAGTGTTATGTCGGACAAAAGTGACTTGCGATTCAGCAAGAACTTGATTAATTTCCTCATTTGTTCAATTTCATCGGCAGTGACGTGGGTTGGATCTGTGTGTGTATGTGTGGATCAGATGAAAATAAGAAATGAAGGTGAATGAGAATGGAAATAATTAATAACATTTGAAATTCGATGAAATAGATAAGTCATGAACTTACAATCAAGTAGAGAGAATTTAATGACCGGTTGCTCGCATCGTGGTTTCGTCGAGCGCACCTCATTTGTAAGTGGATCGATATGACGGCGGCTTTGTGCATCGAAATTACCTCGGGGAATTTCTTGTTGAATTTGAATCGGAGTCTTCACATCACCGACTGTGTATTCCAAGCAAGCGATTTGAAAACTCGGATCGGTTAGAAGGATTTTCGCTACTTTCGGCATATTGATGTATCCCTCATCATCAGCGATTTCATTTTTCAATAGTGCCAATAAAATCCCGATTGCAGCAGAGATGATGGAAAAATGTGTTACGCTATTTAATTCAGGTAAACACATATCGATGACGTATTGGAAACATCCGGGTGGGATTGTGACTCGAGACAGCACTTGACTGATGAGTTGGCATACTCGGTTCAGCAATGTTATGCTGTTTGGACGTGATGCATCGATGAACACCGGAGGCGCTATAGAAATCATCATTTCCAATGTTCTCATCAGCGAAACGGTCAATTCAAAACACATTGAACAGATTTTTGATTGACGCGACTCATACGCCGAATGTGATCGATCTTGTCGTTGCATTCCGTTTTGAATTTCTTGCAAAAGTAGCACAAATTCCGAAAATGCCCAATTCAACTGAGATAGAATCGAATTGATGAGTGTTGTGCTGAACGCTTCATCGTCGATCAGCAACTCGGCAATCAATCGTTGAAAGTGTGCACTTGGGTTGCTGGGAGCAATGTGGTGTAATAGTCCGGTATGTCCATTTTTTCCTCGACTACGAAATAATCCGATTGACGGTGCTCGCGAACCATCTTGCCAAATGCTCGGTTGACGCGCATCCCGATAGGCAAATCCATCACCCAGCCAGAATCGTAACAGCAACCAGTTGCTTTGACCCCAGGCTCTTCCCTGATACGGCCGCATTAAGGAACTTATCAGAGTTGTTTGATGCAACGGCGAACAGTTTTCTAATGCTCGAATTCCAGCTTCATGACAAGTCAATGTGCCGAGCGCTTGAAGTAAAGAGTCTTTGCATGATGCCAAGACCACCCGTGAATTGGCTGCTTTGGAACATAGAAACTGAGCCGCTGATGCAATTATATGAGAACAATCTGGAATAAATTACTTTGTTAGACGCTTTTATGTTTAAGAAAGAATAAAGAAGAAGAATATACCGGACAAATCATTTTGTAGATTCAAGTCATGAAAACTGAAATTAAAACAAAGAGAAAACAAAATATTGAATTGTGTATTGACACGAGATGTTGGAATGGAAAAAAAAATCGAAATCGATGATGAAATCACAATTAAATGTACACAAAGCAAGCAATTACCTGAAATCCATAACCGTGTCCAGTAGTATCGGCAGAATGTTTATGTAGAATTCCGGTACAAATGCAAATAGATCGCCCTCTTCGGATGCCTCCTAGAAAAGAGAGAATTTTATTTAGATATGATTTCTAGAATAGTTTTGCTTTGATAACACCCCACCTTCAATGTTCGAACAACGGCATTCAACATCCAGCACAATAAGTTGCGTCGGAATTTGCCCAGAGCAACCGAGCGATACCAGGCTTGTTTTCTCGCCAGTTCCGTCGATCGCTTCAAGAATACTTGTCTTCGTTCCATCAGTTTGTCATACAAATCCTTCAGAACATCGCCATGCGTTGAACTTATCATCGCATCACTGCTGACTGTTTCCATCGTTCGCAACAGCACGTCGTAAGTCACTTTTGTTTCACACAGAATTTCCGATAAGGTTCCAATGCTGTCTCGAAGGTCGGCAATCTAAGAATCAATTTCGAAAACATTATAAGTATCGATATGATTTTCAATTGTTGTAATGGAGATCAGAAGATCTGATCTGATACGAAAAATTCATCATATGTGCACAAAATGAAACGCTCACCATAATAATATACTTATGAGCGACGGCATAATAATACAAAATGCAGCAATCCAATAAATTCTTGAGTGCGTCTTGGGTGCTAACCTCGCCCGCTTTAACTGGTGCCTCGGCTAGCTTTGTGAATGTTGAACTGCTTCCGTTGCCAACATTCATGTCTCCATTCAAAGTTGATAGCAAATCTGATGTTCGAACTTCGGAACGCAATGAATTGAGTGACGATCTTGGATTACCGGTCAGTAGAAACATGGCTGAGTCTATCACAATCGAAACGAAAGTCAAATCTTTTCTTTAAATTTAAACAAAATGTGTTTATGTCTTACATATATCGCTCAATTCAACGCCATTATAAATGCCCGTCACTGGTTCATCACCGTTTTCAATCGAGCTGTGTTCACTTCCCAATCGCGTCATTAGCTCTTCACGGAAATGTCGCTGTAAATGCGTTAAAACTCCGCCAACTCGATCAAAATGAAAATAATTGAGGGATCCATCGTAAAATGTTTGTGGCGACACAAATGCCGGACTGTCTGGCAGTTCATTAGCGTATAGTGTTTGAAGTACATCGAGTAAAATGCATAAGAATGATAGTGCTACGGCTGGCTGTGTTGGTGGGGCGTATGATATGCCTTCCAAAAAGTAAATGGTGCGATGTTCCACACTATTTTCAATCACATACTTTCGCAATTTTGTGATGAAAATCTTGCGGCTGGACGGGGATGTGTCAGTGCCATCGGTGTTATTCAGCAATTTTTCCACCAAATTTTTCTGAAGCGTATAGAGAGCATCGGTGCAAGCGTTTAGTTTCTGACAATCCTTCAGATACGCCTCTTTCGACGTGTCCATTCCATTTGTCCATACATTGCGATCGGGTATCAGATCGGCTAATGTTGATTCATCCGGTGGTTTTATGTACAGAAATATGGGCAATCTGGTCAAATAACAAACAAATTTTAATGGAAACATCCACTTTGCAATGGGATATCGTTGGAACTTACAAATTTTTGTTGAAGAATTTGTACTCCATGAGATATTTTCGTGTTGCCGGATGATTACAGATGCAAGTCAGGACCACAATAACAATTCGTTGTTTCTCGTAATTCAAATCAACCGGTGTCTAAGGAACAAAAAAATAGATTTCGTTTGGAATTGAGGAAAATTCATCACTTTTCGCTCTGAATTTGAATTTTAAGACTCACCTCACGGTACATGCTGGACAGAAAGTTAACAAACTTGCTTAAGAAACACTTCATAATATCACCTTGAAAATTCCAAAGCAGCGATAGAAATGTGCCGAGCGTACTTTCCGTCATTCCGGGATAGATGACATTGTTGGAATCGATATTTGTACGAATAACACACATTCCCTTCACATGCTTAAATACTTTCTCTTCAATCACATAATTATTGCATAGAATCGATGCAATTTCATTAATCAATATAGACGCAAGCAGTGCATAAGTTGTGTCAGCCGAAACGTCCTTGTTTGAACGCAGTTTCTGCGGTCGACTCGTAGAAATGACACGTGCAATATTCACCAAATTATTCAAAAGGAACTCTGCTTTCTCAAGCTTCACAGCCGGGCTCATTTGCAATGGACTGTAGCCTTCTACTGGATGTCGGAATGGCGAACTACCGAAATTCGCTGTTAAACTGTCATCAAACGCAAGTGAAGCGGCTGGGAACAAAGCGATACCGGGGCCACGTGCCACGTCATCAAAAGCAACACCCAAACTCACACCATTTCGATAGTATTCAATTTTGCCTTCGTCCATGTCAAGACAAATGCCAAACACATCACCACTTCGCCAATACGGCCCATATTTTCGCGTGTGCACATGCCATATTCGTTGTTTACTGCCATCAAAACCGTAGCTATTTTTGGTGTCGCCAACTCCGGTATCCTGCGTGAATGTGCATTTCGATGAGCAATATCCAATTTGCATTACACCTTTGCTCCTGAGCTGCACCTGTAAGAAAAAAAAAACAAACAAAAAACGCACGATTAATATCGTCTGACACACATTCACATTGAAATTGAGGTGTGGAAAAAATCGATAAAATACACATGCCTCGTACATCCATTTTCCTTTCCAAACACAACAATTCGCTTTTAGCGTACAGAAAGCACTTTGTGACTGTATCGTTAATTTATCTTTCGATATTTTCACCAAATTATTGCTATCATTTTGATCGGCAACAAAAACCACTTTGGCTGGACCCAAACGGCCTTCGGGCAAAACTTTCGACGATCCACATTGCTGCTGTATGCCACCTAGTTTATTTTTCAGCCACGAACTAAACTCCTGTACGTGCCTGGAAATAATGAAAAGAAAACAAATGGTTGAAAGTGAGACACGCTTGCGAAGAACAAAAAAAAATCGATGAAATGTGATGAAATCATCCTAGTGTGGATCTGTTGCACCTACTCTTCATAGCTGAGGTCATTGAAGTTTCGTGTACATGTTGACGATGGATACACTTCAAACAGATTTTGTAAAATTTGTGCAATATTCATCACGTTTTGAGCACACTTCCAATACTATCACCACCTGCCCCGTAAAACGAAGGCCAATCACAACACTTTTCGATTTTCTATCAACATTTTCTGTGAATTTTTAGGAATTTTACTATCATTTTTCGCACGAGCGTGGAAATCCAACTTTCACTTTTCGATGACAACTGAAGTGATGCGCGACTGTGTTGGTGCGATGAAAATCTGCTCCAGTTTGTTTCCTTGGCATTGAAAAGTGTCAACAAATACATGTGAAACATGAGTGATGACAGTTCAGAACGCTGGGTTTTTGCGCTGGCTAATCGGCGGGAAAATGATAAACTCACAGCATATCGAACCCTATCGGAAAAATCACCGTAGGATGAACATTGGTTTCGGTTATGGAAATGAACAACGGCACGGATATCTCTGTGGAATGATTCATTGGATGAATTTTACTGCAATGAATTTGAATTCAAAAGTTTGAAGAACAGTTCTACTTAATTAAATGTAAAACTGAGACAAAGTTGAATGCTGCACAATGAGACTGACCATTAAATGCTCAAATGGGCTACATTGATTTAAATTTAAAATGAATTAAGCAAGTTCTTATGGGTTTACATGCTTCGATGCGCTGTAATAAAAGTTGTTCGGCTTCGTTGTGAACTTTTAGAAGAAATTCTATTAAGAATGTCATAGTAATAATGAAAAACGACTCATCAAAAAAAATTAATTAACCTTCCGAACGTCGAAACTTTGTCAAATGCTCGTACAGACTGGTCTTAGCAAATTACATGCAGCAAAAAGTAAGTTCGTCATTATGATGGTGATTATTATCACCGTTAAAACTACCAATCGAATCGTATGGCTTTGCTGAAACTATATTCAGAGTAGTCTTTGCCAATGACTCTACATAGCAGCTTCAGACGCAATTATCGTTAATTTACCTTCGGAAGCGATAGAACTATTTTAAATAACTCCATTGTATACACAGAATGTGTGGTTAAAAATGTAAATGTAAACCTAAAAAATGAAACCATTAAAGTTGATTGAACATAATGTTCTTTAAATTCCTTTGATGCATAGCGCTCAACGGAAAAATGAGTTTCGTAGTTGGAAAAGAAAACATTATTGAACTGACCACATCATAGAATTCGTTCGAAACCATAAATCATCGTCCGATTGCAATCCGATGGAATTGATCGCTTCAAAAATTGCAATCGGTCGAAAGGGTTTTCGCAAAATAGAGAAAAAATCCCTCCATTACAAAACTGCATAAAAACTTTTTGTGAGGTGGAGATGTGGATAGAATGCTCTCATTTCGAAAATGCCAGAAGCGTAAAAATACGTAGACAAGAAAACATAAAGCACCGACATCAACTAAATGTAACGATTTCCACCTGTAGAACGATATGCACTGTCCGGATAGAGAATGAAACGGAGCAACAAATGCTTTGAACATTTATTTCAATTTTCTAGTATTGATGTTGTTTTCTGATTCTTTCTTTTCCATGTTTTTTTGTTCTCTCTCTCTCTCTGTTGCCACATATGAAGACTTGCATTTGAAACAAAAACGTAAAGCGAAAACCTTCGGATGGAAAATCTTCAGCAATTTATTTTTATCAAGCTTTGGATATGTGTTTTTTTCACTATTTCTTACAAATTGTACTGCTGCAGAGAAGCGTGGGTGCTATGGTACCGTGCATCGACAACGATCCCTTGAAATGGCAAAATCATCGAGACACAATTTGGTCCTGACAACGAGAAAGAGAGAAGGAGAAAATTAAAGATTACCGAATGGTGAAAGTGGAAGTGGAAGTGGAAAAGAAGAAGAAGCTAAAAAAAAATCGACTCGAAAAATAATAAATGGAATCGATTATCGATTTGGTTGGTCTACGCGTTCACTCGTTGGCAATCCGCAGACATACTTGGCAAGTTTGTTCAAGAGTGGCACTCAAACGTACACTCATGAATATGTATCTAATATGGTTGTATGTAGGATATTTCATTCTTTATCTGCGAAAAGCTTTAAAGACTCTTGATTTTTTTTTTGTTCCTCGGTGTCTCTTGACGGTCGCTGTGTTACTGTTGCTGTCCAGTCGATTGCATAGCATGCTTTTGTGTTTTGAGAATTCCTTGGGCATTTCTCCGACAAAAGCATCAAACGGGTCCCATCGAGAGAGAAAAAATGGGGAGAAGTGGCACACAAATCGAAATGGCTGTAACTGCGTCATCCATTCGATACGAATATATTTTTCGCTCGTATCCATTTATTTATATTTCCATTTTTTTCTTGTTTTACACAATTTTACTGAAAACATGAATCGCGATTGAGTAGCAGCAGAAGTAGCAGCAGCAGCATGGCACACGAAAAATATCGTTCAAAGAATCAAAGCAAAAGAAGTAGTAAGTTCTGCTTTATGAATACTAAAAATCTGCCAATTGAATTCAATATCCGCTCAGAACGTGACGCCAGCAAAATCAAATGCACACAATACATGTAAACAGTTCGGCTATGAAAAACTACATTCATTGGCTCGAGCCAAGAAGAAGAGAAAAAAAATTAAGAAACACATTGCCAATTGATGGGAGAAAGAGGGAAAAAGACCCAAATAAACATAACAATCATTGGCGTTTGCTCGTTCCAAATGTATTTGTGTTTGTGTTGAGGCACAGAATTGTGAGAATTTGCAACACATTAGCCGTGAAGCGTTTTCGTTTTGCGGAAGTCAAAATCGTTTTTTACACTCAGAGAGCAATTTCAGTGTTTTTCGAAATGGCATATTTTCAAAATGAATTAATAATCAACATTCAGCTCACTTTGTATCGAAGAGAGACATTTTATTTCAGAAAACTTGCACATAATTGGAATGTAATGGTTTTCCATACCATTCTGCGTCATTTGACACAAATATTAGAGAAACTGGTGCGAATATTTTCAACTGATGCCAACAATGTTAAAAAATTGGGTTATCGAACATTGTACGAAGTGCTGTACAGTATACAGAGAATGTTAGGGCGCTATGCTGGGAAATTTTTTTTTCTTCCGCCACGCTGAACATGGACCGGATGCATAAAATTGAGTTAGGTAAATGACAGCACGTTGAAATTGAATCGATTCTTTTTTTGTGAACCAAGTCGCTTTGTTCATGCACAAATTATTAGTCGTAAACCATTTTTCTGTTCGGGTAATATTCACAAAGCCAGGCAAACAATTAAAGGCGAATAAAATCGACCTATTTAACTTTTTGGCAGTTTGAGTTGTATCAAGGAAAATCGATCCGGAGCACGGAGCACAAAATAATGGGAAAAAAAATCGGAAAAATATTTTAAGTAAATTTTTTTATCACGATTAAAATTGTGAGACGAAATGGACCCTTTTCGTTTCAACGAAATGACAACATCTTAAATAACATTTTGCCCTTAACAATGTCCGTTTTCATTGAAAGCACTTATTACACTCTCTTCACTGCTTGGCCCCTTCAAGTCTTTGTGTTGCTTTTGTTGTTCGAACGTTCATTGCTAGTTACAGCATTTTTCTTGCAATTGTTTCCATGCAACAAATAGCTTAGTCCGTTTTTTTTTCTCTTCTTTATCTCTCATTGCTCGATACGCGACGAAAGGAAATGTGAAGTGAAATATCCCTCATCTCTGAGAACGAATCAAATTTAGCGAAAGATAAACATAAACATTTTTCGTAAAAGGGGGAGAAATCATAGAAAACGGATATTGTTTACTTGGATACATGGAATCAAAGATCAAGAAAGCAAAAATACTGAGACAAAAAATAAATATCGCAGAAATCCAATACACGGATCCGAAGCTGTATGTAACGATATCCATGACATTTTTTCTACCGATTTTGTTGTTATTCTTGTTCGTTCGGCGAAGTCACTGCAGAGGAAATTATTAAAAATGAACTCAAAAAAGAGAAATAAAACGAAATTGACTGATGCTCTGCGGCACCACCGACGCTATCAACCGATAGCAAATCGCTTTTATGTCAATGGTTGGGATTTTTTTTTTCAATCTCTCAATTCTTCAGAGGTTGAGTATGTACCATGTACCTGGTGCCGTAGTAGCATAGTTTCCATTAAACCAATTTACGAACGAATCCTGTAAAATCAGCGCGATGCTCTATTCCACAAAGTCATTATCGTGATTGAAACAAAATCGGATTCGATTGGATGCAAGTTAAATGGGATTTCGTGGAATTTAAGTGCAATCAGTGTAAGCAATGGATCCATTGTAAGAAGTAAGTAAGTAGTTTATCAGTCGATTCAGTTGAATCATGCTTGGAAATCGTTGAAGGAATCGTACGACATAAATATTACAAGATGTGCAGCAGCAGCAGCAGCCTCTTGAGATTTCGTGCTAATGACATTTTGTTATGTTACAATGTAATAATAAAGTTGTCAGTAGCTTGATTTAAATGCAACATCAAGCGTTCTAATTAAAATTCGATTTAAAATGAGAAATGACGAGAACGAGGAAGTTTCGCACTGAATGTTTGTGTTGTTGTTGTTGCTTTTGCTCGTTCGATGCTGGTGTTTTTTTTATCAACATACGGTAAATTTGAAGTGGCTGTTAGTTTTAATTATAAACTTGGTGCATGTGTTTGCGTATACGCGCGCCAGAGAAAAGAGACGTGAACAAACGACATGGACTGTCACTGTAGCTAGTGACTCGTGAATGCATACAAATTGAAAATCAATGCGATGAGCAGTGAAAAACATAGTGTGTAGTCAATTTCATTTGTTGCTGGCGAAGAGTGAAACTGTGCGGTGGCAGAGAGAGAGACAGAGAGAGAGAGCACTTAATTGGCGGCAATTCGCTTGAAAATTACATTTCGACGAGCGAAAAGCAATTTAATGAGTTGATTCCAACGGTTTGAGTTTACACCTACTTAAAACATTGTTAATTATTTGCAAACACAGTGCTCCGATAAATTCGATGAATTGTTCGAGTGGCACTAAATGTAGTGCAGTGAAACATCCCGTCAATAATTCTATTCTCAGCGCGCTTCGATATCAAGCACATCCGATGATCCGTTACAAGAGACAGAGAAAGGGATTCACACTTTGGGACGAATAAAGCACTACTCATCGAATTTACAATCATCGAACCAACATCGAATTAAAATTCACTGTGCGTTTTATTGTCCCAACAAAATATATGGAATGCAAACGAAAGAGAGAATAAAAAACAACAACATGTTTTGTTAGCTAGACAAAAGCACTTGTTATCATCAGCACATATTCATACGAGCGAAAAATATTAGTTCGACTGTTGTGAATAGAGACTGTGTTTCCCCTACGTATTTTTAGCGTCACTTAAACACACAACTGGAATGTGTATACCAAAAACGTGATACGATTGAGTGAATACAATTCGCTTGAATTCGAACTAAAAATATTCTTTTTTATTCGCACAAAATGCTCGCAATGCAAAGGACAGGCAAATAGAAAGCAAGAGAGAGAGAGATAGAGAGAGTGTGTGTGAGAGGGGGAAAAATACAAGAGTCCCGATTGAGAAATTTTGATTTCGAGCAACACGAACAACGGCCATTGATTATGTTATTTTTATATAGAATTCGAAACGATACCGGCACTAAACCGCTACGCATCAACACGTTCATCATTTTGTTTTTTCTCTCTCGCTTCCTATTGACATACGAATAAGAGAAAAACATTTCCCACGCTGACAATCCACACGTTGCTTTCGGCACAAGTGATTCGGCAAGCAGAAAAAAAAATAGCAACCGAATCATTCCAACAGAACAATCTGAACAGAATAAACAAAGCACTTTTCGGTTTGTTGGGTGAATAGCAAACGGAAAACGTCGTGCTGTTTGCAAGCGAGTCAAAGCGTTGAGCATAGAACAATCGTTGCGACAGAGTTATGATAGAAAACATAACAATAAATAAATCGAAAGTGGACGCGACTGTTGAGAGTGAGAGATGTTTCATTCAATGCGCCCGATTCACAATTTGAATGTCACATAAATTTATTTTTAAATTCATGAATGTGAATGGAGTTTGTTGGTGCGGTTGCTGTTGTTGTGTTTTGAGTTGATTTGCTTTGCTTTGGGCCGGTTTCTTTGGTTTAGACAGCTTATTCGTCATCTTCGCAGTTCATTTGATGCACCTCGCATCAAGCTCATCGCAAATCAGTGTGGCTCTCAATTTCGTGAAAGTGAAATGTGAGTGACGACGAACAACAAGAAGATCGCGATAGCGTGAGCTACACCGCATTACATCACAAATCACATTCAGTTTTCAGTTGGTGCTAAACCATTCAAGTGCTAACCATTTCTATTCAGTCTTCCGTCCGAGTCGTTTGTTTGTTTTTCTGTTCAGTGTTCGTATCCTAAATCAATTTCCATCGGAAATGGTCATCGAGTTGTCAGTTTCAGGCGAAACGCATAAACCATATTTGCTTTGTTACGGTGCTTGAGTGAATTTGAATTGGGTTGGGCAATTTTATGCATTCGAAGCAAAGAAATTTTCGATGATATCTCTACTGCCAAGAAAAACAAACACAAATCGTTCCACAATCGTGCTGACAGAAGTGAAAACATAAATTTATTGCTTCGATTCATTTATTCAGTTTTAGTTTTTCATTCTTCGTAATAAATAATTCAAATTGTGCGGAACTTTTGCTGAAATTATTCATGAAGTATTCGCAAAATAATTTGTTTCTATTTCTTTTGCCTCGCAGACATTTGATGAGTTTATTTCTCAAGCCGCATATGAAAAATTGGCACGAATTAAATGATTCGATATTATTTCAAAAGTCTCGTGTCCCTCAAACGAAAAAAGAAACAAAATATGCGCTTATTATTAGTTTTTATTCAGTCACAGTTGATTTTTTTCATGTTTTTCAGCTGTTCAGCAAGAAATTTTGACGTATCAAAAGAGAAAATCGGTGTGGTTTTAATAACGTGCTAGAAAGAATTATGTCGATGAAGTGTGAATTTTGTGGTGAATCAGCGGCGTTGAAATGTGCTGGGTGTCGGCTAGTTTTTTACTGTAGTCAACAGCATCAGAAATCGGATTGGAAACGGGGCCATAAATCGAAATGCAAATGTTACGAGGTATTATATAGCCATTTTCAACGATGGAAAATTTCAATAGCTTCTCATAGATTATATTCTCGATTCATGCATATGCAATTAGATAGCAGAATGTGATACGTTTGGTCGTTTTATGCGAGCAATTCGTACTATCAAAGCCGGTGATGTGATTCTACGCGAAAAACCGTTGATATTTGGACCGAAAATAATTAGCGCACCGATCTGTTTGGGTTGCAATCGTTTTGTAGAACCGCAGGATATTCGAGTCAATCAAACAGCGCCAGCATCGTCGTCGTCCAATCGAAATCGCAATCCAAAGCCAAAAGTGAAAACAGTACGAAATTTTTACAAATGTTCGACGTGCAAGTGGCCGTTGTGCAGTCGGGAATGTGAAAAATCACCAGCACACTTGGATGAGTGCCAGTTGATGGCGGAAAAGAAATTTCAATGCAGTATCGATTACAATGCGCAAGATGAAAATCGAAAGGAATCCGCTTACTGTGCAATTTTGCCGCTAAGATGTTTGCTGCAGAAGAAGAACACTAAAGATGGGTAAATAACATAACGAATGTAAATCTTTGTCGTGCATGCGACTCTTTTTTGTCTTTTTTTTCCAGTAGTTGACGTAGAATTTACTCTTTTGAACGGCAAAATTAAAACTGCACAAATTCATATCGAAATTAAAATGTGTTTACCTCCTTTTCTCGCTTGTTTGTTTGCACATGCAAAAGATTTCAGAAATTCTATCAATTGCAAGGCCATTTGAAGGAGCGCATCCGAACGCCCATGTACAGTGTGCTACGATCCAACCTAATCACATTCTTCAAAACAATTTTATCGCTTGACGAATTCGATGAAATGACTATACTGAAAACGGCTGCTATCTTGGATACGAATGCATTTGAGGTTCGTTCCGTCGACGGATGCAGCAAAATCCGTGCCATTTATGCTGAAACAGCAATGATGTCGCATGACTGCGTGCCAAATAGCTATCATACATTTGACGAAAATATGCAAATTACCATTCGAGCTGCAAGTAAGTAGTTATCATTATCGCAATTTTCTTTCTTGCATCCATCAAATTGAATTCGCATTTCATTTTGTCATTCGAGAGAGAGTGAGAGATAGACAAGAAAATTGAAACCAACAACAAAATTCCCGAAATTCTTTCAGTTGAAATAAAAAAAGGTGACGTGATTTCACTGTCATACTGTCAACCATTGCATTGCACTCTCCAGAGACGCATTTATTTGCGACACAGCAAATGCTTCGATTGTTTGTGTCAACGGTGCCGGGATCCAACCGAATGCGATACGTTCATCGGGTCGTTAGTATGCCAACGCTGTAGGTCGGCCAAATTGTTGCCAGACAATCCATTTGACGATAAATCGGACTGGAATTGCACGGAATGCTCATTTCAAGTGACCGCCACCAATTTTCAATTCATCCAAAGTCGACTTCAATTTGCCATCGAGAATCTTTGCAAGCAATCACCGTATGATTTTGAAACATTTCTGGAGAAATACTGCTATCGACCCCGTCCAAGAAACAAAACCAATGGCAATGCCAACGAAGATGATTTGAATGCGGAAATTTTGCTGCACGAGCACAATACGTTTGTTCTGCAAATCAAATATGCATTAACGCAATTATATGGCAATGTTAGCGGTTTCCTTTGGCACGGTATGATAACTACAATTTGAATGATTCACACATTTTGAAATGGGAGCACGGTGTTGATATTATTTTAACTTGTGTTTTTCTCCCCACTGTTCTTTTTCTTCTTCTTCTTTTTTGGGGAGGCCGACAGAAATTGGCGATACGGACTTAGCACGCAAAATCTTTTTATGTCGAGAATTACTAGAAGTGGCGAAAATACTTGAACCAGGACAAAGTATTTTCCGGGGAAAATTACTTGTTGATTTGCAGGAAGCGCTTTATGTACAAACGGAGCGGCAATTAAGTAATCGAGACATTTCGTCTGTGGTGGCTCATGTTAGTTTTTGCTAAAATCATGCAAACCAACCAAACAAGTAAACGAACAAGAAATATGCTCACAAATCCGTTTTTTTTTGTATTTTTAGGAACGTTTCAACGAGCAACTACTGCTGCTGAATGAGGCGAAGAGCATTTTTGAAACGGATGCTACCATGAAACCAACCATTGAGCAACGTTTTGAACAAATAAAAAAGACATGTATTTAGAATAAAATTTCATTTCATCGAGCTTTCTTTTAATTGGTCTGGTAATTTCAAAATTAAAGAATGGAAACAGCAAACCATTAAGTTATACGAAATAAATAAAAAAGGAGAGTACTTGAAACTACTGGCGTTTCCGTTTAAAATATTTATGAGCATAGTTCAATGTTTGCTCAAACAGGGCTACTTAGAGTAAGCTAATGAAAAGGCAGAGATTTAATTACACCGTCAACGCATATGCATGGTTTTAAATGTTATCTCTCTTGTTTTTTCGCTGGAAAATTGCATTAAAAACGACCGTTAAATGGTTCATCTCCTCTTTGTGGCTTTTATTATTTGTTATTACAAACATCAAAGAATGCACTTTGCACTATGCTCATTCAATTTAGCTATGATTTCCGCATTTTACCGTAATGCACGAGCAATTTCAACGAAGTGGCCTTTTGTATTAATTTACCGTCGTATGCGATTGACACAGCCAGCCCCATGCATATTTATTTTATTCATGCGCTGGAAGCAAAATAAATTTAATACCCATATACTGTTTTTAATGAAAACCGCTCATCATTTTAACGATATACAGGATGAAATGAAAAAAAAATGAATCGAAACCCCAATAGAGAGTTTTGAAGCGTATAATATGCATACCAATAGACAGATAAATATTTGGCCAGTCGCCACATAAAATCGATTTCAATCTCTTGTTTGATCTAAATACTCAAATACGTTCGCAATATTAACTATGAAATTTGTCATAAAATTTAAAAGGCCGCTTTAGTAGCGTTCATATGCCGCTTGAATCGCTATAATCGCCGCAAACAAATCCGTTATGAATCTGACTTTTTTTTAAATAAAAAAACATCTTCGTATAAAAAAAGGTAAACTAAAATTGTAAATTCAATTTCTCAACACACAGTTTATAAAAAAAAATTATTTGCATCAATAAAACTTAGAAAAACAACAATTATTCTACTGCAAACGATTCCCATTTGAAGTTTGAAACTTCGAAACTAACAGCGACATCTAACGAAAATCCGTTACAACACCCATTCGCCATATTGACAAGTGACAAGTGTGTTGTTGTTTCAAATTTCAAGTGGAAATCGTTTGCAGTGAAATAATTGTAGTTTTCCTAAGTTTTATTGATGCAAATAAAATATTTTTTATAAACTGTGTGTTGAGAAATTGAATTTACAACTTTTTTCTACATTTTTTTTATTATAAAATATTTTTGGATTATTTTGTTTTGAAAAAAGTCAGATTCATAACGGTTTTGTTTGAAGCGCTGAAAGCACTGAGAACTTTTTTTTTTGGTTCAATATCAACCGACTAAAACGATACCTAGCGGATTTGCTAGCCCTTTAATTTTTATGATTAAATTTGCAATGGTCTTTTATTGGCAACTTCCGACAATGGAACTTTACGAATTTTGATTGATCTTCCATTCAAGTTGAATTACCAAGAAATGGTAAGTGGTTTGAGTATAGTGCGCCATGCTTGAATTGATACAAGTGCTAGACCGAACAAAGCCAAGTAAAACAATGTATTTTATCTCAACTATTTCAAAATTTAGAGGAAACTCATCCAAAAGTGGTTAGTGCATGTAACAATCCATTGCAAATTCCTGCCCCGAAGTATTCCAATCATTATTATTACTACTCAACTTGATAACATAAATTTCAATTTCGAATGCAAATAAAACTCTATAAACACATGCATCAATGCAAATAATATGTTATGATTTTGAAATTAATTATAACATGCACGAACTCAATTCAGGCAAAAACCCCTAGAAACGTGTACGGATAAATGGCTCATTTTGGCCAATCGTTGAGAGGAAATGAATCGGTTCAGAAAACTGGAATGAAAAAAAAACGCTTTGCTAAAATCAAATTTTCGAAAGGTTGCTGCGAAGATTTGATTCGTAATGAAAATGAACGACGATAGAGTGGTGCCTCGGTGCAATGTAAAATCAAGCATTGATTGTGTTTTCAAAGTGGTAATATAGCGCGTTTACATTGTACCAACATTTCCGAAGCAAGTGTATTGATTTTGACCCCAAAATTAGATATGATTTGCATTTCTATTTGTTCTAATCAAACTGATTGCTTTGAATATGTGCTTGTGCATCGCACACATTCTCAAGGAAATGGGAGCTGCAGCGATTCTTGAATTTTCATCACAACACGCTTGATTATTGTAGAACATGTAACATATCCGTGTCCGTGTCACCGTGTACAAATCGTAGCTATTTGCGTTGATCGTGCCAAGTAAGCTCAATCACATCATTTGCACAAACTTCACCGAAAAAGCATTTTGGTCCGTTGATTTATTGGATTCGGCAAGCCTACATGGTATTTCTGCCCTCTGAAAATGTTGCCGCAAAAGCAAATCACATTCTCATTCGTATCGAAATTTGATTATACTCGGTGCGGTTGCATGTGTGTAGCTAACTATTCGATTAGAACACGCTCACTGAACATTACATACACATAAGCACATACACATATATACACACGAACAAACATCGGGATCTTGCGGAATTATATATCGAGCACCGAACAAATGACCTGTAAAGAGCGCACACATTCATCTCGCTGCTGTGCCAAAGTTGAATAGGTGTATCGACAGAATGTTGTATCTACATAATCACTTTAAATTACTTTGGAATTTGTAATGCCGGAACACTTAAGCGATGAGAGCGAGCAAGAGAGAGCATACTCTTCACATATGTTCGCACAAATAACAATGACAACGAGAGCGGAAAGAAGAAAAAAAAGAATGCGAACGCACACTACAAGCGATTGAGTTTTCGGTTGGAAATAGCGTTTTGATGTGATTTCGATTTATATAAGCACAAAATGAAATCCTGTTTCTCGAAACAGTGCACAAATACAAAATCCACCATCCACCGGTGCTCAAATCGATTGAAAATAATCAAATGTGACGCTAGAGGTTTTTTCCATTCGAATTTAGAATAAAATTTTATTTGCACATATGCAATCAATCGACGGTGAAGCAACAATTTTACAACTTCTGTGTTTTTTTTTCTACTACACTTTGAACTTTTTGTTTTTTCTTTCGTATTCCAGAAGCGATTCTATTTGATGGGTGTCGGGAAAAAAACGATCGTTGTGATACTTGAGTGGAACCTTAATGCGGCTATTAAAATGGTATTGCGTCAGAACGAAATCGATTCACTCAGAAGTGTAGGATGTTCATTCCCTCTGCGTTTTTTTCTACTTCCAGAAGAAAACGCCGACGAATTGAAATCATGCAGTTGTAATCCCAATGCAATGTCATTTCTCAACTTTTCATCCTCGATTTTGTAACGCTGGCGACAATTATTGCTTTATGCGTCGCTATCTAAGGCTTTTCAACTGCCTCTGTCGCCGCAACGGGATGGAAAGCATATAAATCATCTCTTGCAAATGGAGTAAAACACGGAAACGACGAAGAGAAATCGTTGAGCAATGAAATCAAAAGGCGAAGATGCATGGAAGATGAACAAATAACCAAAACCACAAGAATGTTATAATCTTCTTATTCACAAAGAATTCAAAGAAACCAAAACATCTTCAATCGCTACTACTACCACCACCACCACTTCTGCAACATTGACAGAGCAGCCGCGAATCAATCGTGGCGACATACTCTCGGAAAAAGTTGTCAGACACACACATACAGAAGAGATATGGTAGGCAAGAAAAAAAAACTTTCCTTCATGAAATATGAGAAATGATTTTGTGTATTCTGTTGGAGTAAACAAACGTATTGTTTGGCGGCGTGTTATATGCTCGTTCCCATGCACTTGTGAAAGCGTGAATGCATCACAGTGGCTGTGCTTGAGTGAATTCTCTTTTAATTTCTCGGAATCGTAACCAGATTTTTTTTTCATTTTGAATTATGCATGTGGCTCTTTGTGTATGTGTCATTCATCTTATATTTGCGAATGCTGAGAATATCTTTCTTAAGCTGGATAGAGAAAGAAAAAAGAGAATGTTTTGCTGTTATTTGAGCTTTGTGCAAAATGCCGGAGAAAAAGTAATAGTCTCCTTTTACATTTGATGGATTTCATTTTGACGACAAAAAGAAATAAACAAAAAATATTTCTTTCTTCTCGTGCTTGTTCTTAGTTCCTTTGACCTTGTCATTTTGTTCGCTTTGTCGCGATTATGCTAAGCATTGCCATTATTTTTCACATTGATAAATAGATTCATTGTGTGTATACGGATCAAAAGTACTTTTTAAATAAAAGTTTCTATCGCCTGTGAGTTCATTCTCAAAGGTGGGGATGAGTGAAGAAGTTGAACTTTGGCAAAATTAATTTTGTAAATGGATTTAAATGGCTTATTCGTGATGTCATCGGATTTGAAAGTTTGGGCCGGATGCGATTAGCATCAGAGCTTAAAGGCGAACAATTGAAAGTAGTAAAATGGAAATAAAATATTCGTCGCTATTAAAATGCAAGAGGAATGATGATGGAAGAGAGACAGTGACCTTGGGTCACGTTTATTGTTATCCATATTTATGCGGCATTTTTATTGCCATGAAATCGAATTTGAGATTTCCCACCAAGAATTGACAAATACTTCGTTAGACAGCAATAAAGAGGGAGAGAGAGAGAGAGAAAGTAAGACATCGTTATGTTTGGAAAATGTTTAGAAATCGGCAGCAATAAAGAAAATATATGATGAACCTCTCTAGAAACAAAATTATTGCAACTGAAGGAGTTTATTGAAAATCTGCACGCTCTACTAAATCGATAAATCGACAGAATTTCCAGGACTGTGCCAAAATTCATCGTTTCACTTGCCAAGTTTTTGAATCAAGTGAAAGGATTGGAAAACTTATTGGAACACCATACGCATATCGATAGATCGAACACGGGTGCGGGGATGAGAAGAAGAAGAGATGAAGTCAGAGTTTAGAGAGAGAGAGAGATAGAGGGAGACCCTGCAATACTTTGCATATATCAAAAGTATTGAGAGCAATTTACGCACTTCACCTGTGTACGAACGAACAATCATGCCGAAAGATTACAAGGTAAAAGTTTTGCGCAGGCATAACGATCGAAGTGGAGTACCAGAAAACGGAAAGAAGAAAAAAGAGAGAGAGAGAGAA